AAAGCACGTAAGTAACGGATAATTTGTAGAGTTTTGAAAAATTGTTTTAAGTCTTGCTTCTTACTGTGAACGTAATTAGCTAAATTCCTTATCGCTTTAGAGTAAAATTTCTAGTGGGATGGAAACAAAAAAAAATGGGAAGGTAAATTAATTAAACAGCATTTATTGATTGAAGCCGAAAGTCATAGCTTTGTTGCTTATAATTAGCATACTATGGCTCATCTAAGAGAATAAAGTGAGATTATATCTAGAAAATATAGTCCTTTTCTTCCGAGGAATTATTTATAGCACAAATTATTTAAATTTTGCTTGCGTAAATTGCTGATTGCCACAAAATTTGTTTGCTTGGTTTCACATAATCAAAATAACTCGTTTGCAAATTATCATTCTTCTTCTTTATTGAAAGCAAACTCCTTAGAGAATTTATTAATCGGCTTCAAATTTAATAGCTCATCAAAATCACTGACCTGTTGTAAATCCGCATTATTACGCCTTTTTCTTGAGGAAAAAAATAACGCTGTTTTATATTTTCTTTGAGGAGCATGACCAACTTTAACCGGTCATGAGATTTTTTTGTCATTTGGTATATAATAGATTGTAATTTAAAATATTTTGCTGTTTTACTTTGTTTAATAATATAAACATCATCTTAATGAATGGAGGTTTATGAAAATAGAGACTAAAATAAGTAACTAACTACACAAATTTAACTAACAAATGCTGTTTAAATGCAAAGTTCTATAAGTAGATAGAAAAACCTGTGCCACTCGGAGAGTTAAAGCAAATTGTTCTTTTTTATTAACAGTAAATATTTGTTAAAAAACACTACATGACTTTCTTGCACAGAATATTAAATTATATACATTTTTTGCTGCATTTCATTTAAACTTACTTCCTCGAATTTCATTACAGATATCTTTCTCATTCAATTACTTCAGTTCTCACTTTGCGCCGAAGCAGAAATACATAAGAACTCAAAACACCTTCATTAAAAATTGTAAATATATATATATAACACCAAATAAAGTTAAAATAGTTTTTAAAATTAAAATTAGAGTTTCTACGAAAAAACAAGCAATTCGACCAGCTGACAAGAAGGCAGATTTTTCGGTGCACAAAACTCAAAGCTTACGTTTGATCCTACTCGGCAAAAACACATTGAAGGTGCAAAAACTGGCTTAATTGACTATTCTGCTGAGTTTCAAATGGCGGTTTGTTAGGCTTAACTCGCTACTTTTAAATTGTTGGTAATTCTACAACTTTTGCATGCAGATTAACTAAAGGCATAATAACCTTAAGCGGAACATAAAAATCACATAATTCAATCACTTTTAAAACAAAATATGCACAGTTTACCAACATACAAGAGTAAAATACTTAGCTCACTGAGCCGGATACTGCAGTGGGAATATATATATATATATATATATATATGTGATGTACCAGCTTTTCTCCGGAATAAATAGATTCGTGAAGAATCATAGATGTAGTCGTAGCTTAAATTATCAGGCGATAAGTTTAAAAAACAGGATCCATTTATTATATTTCAGAAGAAAATAGCAATTACAAAAATTAAGATCTCAGGATTAAATAAAAAAGAACTACTAATAACTTTTGTATGAAGTTTACTGCATCGTTACATTAAAGAAAAGCCCCCGATATTCCTTTGCGAGTCCGTTTATAGCCTCTGGAAAGACGGAGCTTCCAAGAAATGACGTCAGCCAATCGAGTTCGCTTTAAATATTTCCAGAACATTCTATAACTGTACGTGTAGAAAAGGCGGGAAAACCAACTTGACTACGGGGCTGTGGATTTAATTTCACGTACTTTCAAATAAGAGAACGTCGCCATTAAAAATGAAAAGAACATACAGTTAGAATTTTAAGTGTATTCTTGACTATGGAATTTTATTATTACATATATATATATATACATATATTTATATTAGTGAAGCTCATTGCAAAAGGAAAAGACACAATTACATGCCATAGCAGTGCTATATACAAAATTTCAATGTTCTACTGCTACTCATTCTTGAGTTATGCGAGATACATATTTACGTACGTAGAGACGTCAAGGGGGGGAAACTTCTAAAACCATTTTAATTCCAATTTTCAATCCTTTTTGTCAAAATAGTAATTTATTCTGTCCATACGCATAGATGTCATGCGAAACTTTGTTCAAATGGTTTCGAGAGCGGATGAAATGTATATTTTCGTTGAAATACGATACCCAAAATTTTTCGCGATTGCAATACTTCCTTTAATTCGTACAAGGAAGTAAAAATTGAGCAAATCTGTTGCGTTCAATTACAAACAGCTTACGTCATAAAAGAATACAAATATGCATTTAAAATGAACGCATATATGGCCTGAAATAATATCCAGTATCTGACATGTTAGCGAAATATTGGTATGAGGGAAATTCTCTTTTTTATAACTAGCTTTGATATGGCTTATGCAATGGTTCCAGCAATGTTTTCTTTGCTTTATGAGTTTAATAAACTCTTAAGCCATTATTGGTCGAATCAAATTTCCAATGTTACAGTGATATATTAGATATATTATTTTTCCCGATTGCAGCTTACAATCAATAGAATCCGCCGGAAACATCGCAGGAAAAATATCGCGGACGAAAACTAAGTGGAGAAAATAACGCAAGAGGATAATAACGTATAAGAAAAGAAAGAAAAAAAAACACCGACAGAATACCGCAGTTCGAAAAACATTGGTGTAGAAGTTAAAGCGGTCAAAAACTTCTCGGTTTTAAAAAACTCGACGTAGAAAATATCGTATTAAAAAAACTACAAGTTATCGCGTGATAATGACATTATGATAATGGCAAAGATGTTTCCTGACTTCTTTGCCATTATGCTTATATTCGCATAATACATTTTGAGTTCAAGAAAGAATGAACAATATTTTTAAATCTTGTTTTTATATTTTTAAATTAAATAATTAATTTTCATTAAAAATAAGAATCATTATGCAATATGCATTAAAATCTTCTAAAATCTGAAAACACATGTCTGCAATGTGATCATCTTGGGATGATTTGTATGTTTCACCTCGACATTTTAAGACTGCAAAATTTTCCGCCTACTTTATTTTGAACGACGATGTTTTCTTTTCCCATTATGTTTTTTACGGCAATGCTTTTTCCTTGCATTGTTTTCATAGTGACATTTTCGTCCGCGATGTTTTTTCCACCATGTTTTTCTCTGTAAAAAACCTAGCAGATGTTTTCGAAATATAGACCATTTTATGATGCTTAGAAAAACATCAAACTGAATGAGTTATTAAACAAAAAGTTAAACATTAATGATAAAAATCCTGATATGCTAATTTTACAGCGCCTCAATACCTAGCAAATAATAATTAAATTCGAAAGTAGGTGTAAGTTATATATTTATTCGTGTTGTGACATAAGATGTCTGCAAACGATTATTGATAATTTGATTATGTAATGGTAGGAACATCATGCATTGTTACGCAGTCACAAATGCTTTTGCTGAGAGCTTTTGGAGATGAAAATTAGGATGCTTTCAGCTTCAATAAGGAATATGTCTTCTGCTTAGGTAATCGGGAAAGTAATGCGCAACATAGAAAGACCTAGCAAAAACTATCGGATGTCCATATAAATCAATGCATCCATGTAAAACCATCATTTTCAAAACTAGATTTTACCCTTCGTTATTACTAAAAATATGTAAAAATAACCTTTTTCCATTAAACCTGCTATTATGTTTGCAATAATTAAATAAGCTTTAAACTATGATATGTGCTACTTCTGCGTGTTCATGGAATGCTTAATGTAAGATACAAGTTGTTTGGATTTCCTTTCGATGCTATGAGAGAATACGCTGCTTTGCGTTTTGCAAACTGAAAAATATCTAATGAAATTACAGATAAAAACGCAAAAGGTGTTTCGAAAATTTCTTTTCCCTGACCAAGATTACTGAGTCAAAAAAGAGTGGCTATCTCTTCCTTCTAGAACAGTGATTTTTCAGAACCCGGATGTTAATAATTAGCGTATCTTATAAAAGTAACCTTTTGAAAAGTAATCTGATGACCACTTATTATGCTTCAGGTTAAACTATGGATGCTGTTAGCAGTTACAGTGAAAACATAGTCAATCATTAATCGAAGAACAAGATACATTATGACAAAAGTTTACGTTCCGAGTGCGAATTTTCATCTCAGACTTTTCTATAGCATTTCTGAGTTTTGTGCTTGAGAAAAATCTTTTTAGAATTCATATTTGTTTTCCTTCACAAGTAGAATCTCTCGCATGCTGGTTATCAATTATCAAATATTAACCTTAAAACTGGTGACATACATATTATTTGTACTTTATTTTGAGGTAACCAGAACACCTGAATAGAAGTTTACTGTAATCATTTATCCTCCATATATTCTTGCATACCTGAATAGAAGTTTACTGTAATCATTTATCCTCCATATATTCTTGCGTACCTGAATAGAAGTTTACTGTAATCATTTATTCTCCATATATTCTTGCATACTGAATAGAAGTTTACTCTAATAATTTATTCGCCATATATTCTTGCATACTGAATAGAAGTTTACTGTAATAATTTATTCGCCATATATTCTTGTATACCTGAATAGAAGTTTACTGCAATAATTTATTCGCCATATATTCTTGCGTACCTGAATAGAAGTTTACTGTAATCACTTATTCCCCATATATTCTTGCATACCTGAATAGAAGTTTACTGTAATCATTTATTCTCCATATATTCTTGTATACCTGAATATTCTCCTTATATTCTTGCATACCTGAATAGAAGTTTACTGTAATCATTTATCCTCCATGTATTCTTGCATACCTGAATAGAAGTTTACTGTAATCATTTATTTTCCATATATTCTTGCATATCTGAATAGAAGGTTACTGTAATCATTTATTCTCCATATATTCTTGCATACCTGAATAGAAGTTTACTGTAATTATTTATCCTCCATATATTCTTGCAGGTGGATTCTGCCACTGTTTACGAACACATCCAGCAAATGCGCGAAACCCAGCCTGTTATCTGGTGGAAAGCCGTCTGCTACCATTACGTCCGTAGAACGCGGCACGTGACTCGATATCGCAATGGCGATGCTTACACCACCACTCAAGTTTACTACGAGCGAGTCAACTCTCATGGCTCTGGAGCCAGCTTTGCCTACACGAATTGCGGCGTTAAAGACATATCCAAGAAGGTAAGCACTCCATGAACATTGCCTTTTATTCATATCAATCACTGCTTGTGTAAATGCTTCTGTTGCTCAGTTAAAAGGCCGAACGGTAAAGTCGGTAAACACTAGTAGTTCGGTGTGGGGTTCGAATCCCGACGAACGGACTAGTTGCATGGGCGTTTCCATGCTCCCTTCATGTGTAGGCAAACAAACTTCAGGTACTTTGCCATAATTAAATAAACCAAATAACCTGTTGCGCAGTTAAAACTGTATGGAGTATTTTGAGTATTTGTATGGAAACTGTTAAATGGAAAATTCAAAAATTCTGTGAATTAAGCAGAAGCAGGATTTGCACATAAAAATGCCTATAACAGCTTTTCCAATTTTAGAGAAGGCTGCATTTTCAGCGCTGCTAGGAATTCGTAATCCGTGCTGCGGGTATTATGGTTCGAAAAGACGAAAGATATTTAACGCTACCTGTCAAATAGTAGTGCCAGTTGACGTGATATGAGTCTTTTAATTAGCCTTTTAAATATAACTGCGATTTCCTGATTGGTGAATTAGTTAGCGATGCTGACTGCCGTACTAATGGGCCCGGGCTTGAATGCCGAAGAAAGCTTGGATGTTTGCTAGCGTATAGTGTCTTTGCAGCATGGGGGGAGCTGTGCCTACAATACATGACAAACCGAGCGTTCACTGGAGTGGTATGGTGGTAGGGCAAGCGAGAGTGAGAACTTCAAAGGAGTAAGTAAAATATAAAGTCTAAATTTAAATAATTAGTAGCCGAAGGCTACACAATCACTTTAACGCGAAGTTGGCTCAGAACTTTATCGTCGTGGAATTCAGCAATCCACAATTGTAATGCAAGGCCGAAGACCAAAACTCTTATCGAAAACAGAAACCTAATAACGTGGCATCAAGAAACAGAATCCGCTCTGTCTTTCAATCCCAAAACACAATCCTAAATGCACGCAAACTGAATATGCATCCTGGCGGGAAAACGGGAAGTGAAAAGTGACAGTTCAGATCGCAAACATAAAAAAAAACATGGTTTTCTTTAACATAATAGTTAAAGAAATCTCACAGGTTTAAAAGTAATAAAATGTATGTATTAATGAGTTATATTTTATTTCATTTTAATAATGCATCTAATAATTTAATTTATAATAAATTTAACTGGTATTTAATTCATATACTTTATAAAAGATTTATAATATTTTCTTTAAATATTATAACTTTTTAACTTAAACTTTTTTATTCATTTATTTAGCTTTTTTCTAAACTTATAAAACAGTTTTTAACTGTATCAGTTACTTATCTGTTTTATTTTTTTTTCTTTCATTTTAAAATTCTTATAATTCAGATGATGCGTGGTGTCCGTCTTATTCCGAAAGTTGAGTTATGTATCATTTCATCTCTTGCAATAGGTTACGGTTTTATTTCTTTTATAAATGATTTGTCACTAAATAGGATACAGACAAAATTTAATTATAAGTGATTTCTTTCTTCATACAGAAGAATTAAAGATACACCATATCATTCCACACATAGCAATGAAATTATATGCATATTATACGCATACTATGAAGATTAAATACGTAATAACAAACTAGAACTCGATATCAAACACACTAAAGATTTTATAAAAATGGATTAGTCAACTCCCAGTAAGAGATAAAAGTTAGTTGTCCACCACTTGGAACGAATCCGAAGGTCTCCCATTTGACAAGCTGAAATATATCTAAGGCGAGCCATTTTTCTCAATAAGACGTGCGATTAAAATCTTGCGGGTTATAACTAAATCTTCACATATAATCTCTCTATCACAATACCGTAAAAGTATCTCTTAAATCATAGTAATAATGATATTTGCACTTCTGTAATAAACATGATTAATATCTCTTTCTTTTTGAGAAAATACACGACGTACAAGAAACATTATCTCCTGACTCTTTAATAGCTTCAAAGGAATTTTAAATCACTATCGTCTGCATCGCTCGCGATTATTCTTGCAAGTTAATGCAAGGGCTATAAAACTAATTCACTTTTTAATATGATACATATTTGCTTTTCGCTAATCCATGACAATGTAAAAGTTTCAATTTCAAGTACATACGATTTTAAATTCCTGTCAGAACTGTTGCCAATTCAATATACCCTTAAAATATTGAATGATTTCACTTATTCCGATTCTGGAAGAGCAAGTGTATTTCTGAATTTTAATTAGATGATTGAACGTTATAGGCTATGCATGTTCCTGAAACTTTATTTAGATGTAAACAATTTTCAGAGATTTCTCGCTATTTTGAATTATCAGAAAAATTATTATCTTACATGCAACAAGGAGCTTTTCAGATATTGATTAAAATCTTAATTCAGTTTTATTTCTGGAAATGAGTCTGCATCCACTCCAAAGGCAATGCACTCAGGCTCAAAGTCTTTTAAAACTAACAAACATGTTTTAAAATCATTTGTGAAGCTTATAAGTAGCGGCGAATTTTGTTTATTATATCAATAAAGAAAATGGCAACCACAAAACGGCAGTATTAATAGTGGATATAAGGAAAATTCCACACTGTGACATATTACATGAATAGAGAGCTGGTGGAGACGTATTTGTTATATTTGTTATTTACTGGTGCTAATTCTGTGAGTTATCTCATCAGAATTCAGACAGTTTTCTGAAAATTGTTTCACGCAAACGACACAAAATTCAAAACATTTTCCTTGTAACAAATGTCGAGATTTTTTTTTTATTTAGAACAAACAAAAAATCTGCTCTCAAAGATGGTTCGAATTGCATAACACCAAAATTATCGAAGAAAACGGTTAACATTACCTTGAGTTCTGATCACTTTTGATGTAGTCTTTTCGATCTTGCTTCTCTAGCTTAGAAGCAGCCAACAAATTTGGCCTCAAAGATGATTTAACAGAAATTCGAGTACATAACACCATGATGATCGATGAAAAAAATTTAACATTACCTTGAGTTCTGATCGACTTTGACCCAGTTTTTTCGGTCTTGCTTCACTAGCTTAGAAGCAACAGTTAACATTATCTTGAGTTTTGATGGATTCTGACGTAGTCTTTTCGGTTTTAAAGCTGGTTCTCCCACAACGTTTTCAATCTGGCTGCAAAGATGGTTCAACAGAAATTCGAAATGCATGCCACTATGATAATCGAAGGAGACACTTAACATTACGTTAAGTTCTTACCGACTTTGACCTAGTCTCTTCAATCTCGTTTCAAAATCGAAAATCGTTTTCGAAAATCGTTCATTCAATTGTTGAATTTTTCCTGTATCAAAATCATAGAACCATGTTTCATCACTAGTAATGATGCGTTGATAAGCTTGTCTTGAGGAAGTATCTCCTGTACTACTTGTTGCCCTTTTGGAAACAATTCACCTTAAAGAAAACATAAAACTATTTGAGCTTAGCTATGATCATTTTCTGAACCCTTGGAGAACTAGGGAAGTAAGGTAACTAACTCTTCCAAAGCCATAATGGTCTTTTAAACTTCCTCAACAAAATCTAAATATTATACGAATGTTTTCAACAATATCGCTAATTATTTAAAGAAGATCGCTAAGTATAAGGTCCTGACTCGATTGTCATGTTGCTGATTTAGCTTAAGTGGCTGATTTAATGGAGTGCGGTTCGCCTTCGATGTATTCCCTACTTTCCTTAGACATCTTACATCACTTGTAGGGTTTTGATGAAATGTTATCTTCAAAATGTTTTGTGAAACATTTAGAACATTTTGTTTTAAATTTTGCAGACGAATTCCGGTAACAATGTTTCTTGTAAGAGAAACTGCATTGAAAAAATAAAATTAAACGAAAGATCGTTGTTGAATAAACTTCCTCAGTTTGAGAAAGTCCCAAAACAAAATTTCCTCATCGAAAACAGATCAGATGGTAAAAAGGAAATGAAATGCAGCATGTTGCCAGATGTCGATAAAATCTAACAACTTCTGAAATCTTTTCAGAGATTTCTTATACGTATTATAAATGAATCATTCTGTATCCTTTTTAATCGTAGTAGTATGTGTCTGAGTCATCCTTTTCATTTAAATATCAATCCACTTCATCTTTTGATTTATCTCTTCTTTAAAATTTTGGAATTCTAGTTCTTTGCAACATGCTTAAATCAATGAAATCTATTATTTCATTTTGAAAATTTACTCCCTTTTCTTGCGGTTATAGTACTTTCCAATTTAAATATGTGTGCCATTAATGTTAAATAGTCCATAGAAATAGGTTAATGTTTCATGAGTTGTACGTGTAACTACATAAATATTAAGACACAATAACACGCCGAATAAATGCTAATTCAGAAGTCAAACAACAAAAATCAGCGTTATATTTACAAAACTTTCACAGGACTAGTTTCGATGGTTTTACTGAACCACCATCCTCAGCTGCAAAACCGCAAATGAACAAGATAGGAAACAATGATTAGATAAGAAAGCCTGGACAAGAATAAGCAAGTGGCGCCATCTGTTGGTGAAACCAGAACTATGTTAGAAAAAAGGAAACACAGAAGTCTTCTGTTGCTCAACATTGTTGGTCCGAAAACCACACTTTCAATTTTTCTGCTGCCAAAATTATTCAAAAAACATCTTCCATTGGAGAACTGGATTTTTTAGAGGCATTTCACATTCATAAAAGTCTTTCTGTTCTAGTTAACGATCCTAATTCCAATCCAAATTTGCCTTCTGCCTTTAAGAAATTATGGTTTTAGTTCTGGTTTCACCAACAGATGGCGCCACTTGCTTATTCTTGTCCAGGCTTTCCTATCTTATCTAATCATTATTTCCTATCTTGTTCATTTGCGGTTTTGCAGCTGAGGATGCTGGTTCAGTAAAACCATCGAAACTAGTCCTGTGAAAGTTTTGTAAATATAACGCTGATTTTTGTTGTTTGACTTCTGAATTACATAAATATTGTTCATATTGTAGTATAATTAAGACTGATATAAACATGTCATTATTATCATGATCAAATATTCGAGACTATTTTA